TATATATATATATATATATATATATATATATATATATATATATAGATGTTTTAAACGCATATTTACAATTTTTGTATTATATCAAGCTTACACGACCTCTAAAAAATTAAAGGATGATTAAAATATAACGCTTAACACAGCTGAATCTCAATAACTCGAATTACATGTTATTATTAGCACTCTAAACAGTTATTTTCAAAATTTTAACAACTCAAATTTCCTATCCCCTTCAAGTTCGAGTTATTACGGTTCAAATGTAACAATAATTTATTAATTATGAAATGTTATAGTTTATGGTGTGCTGTAGGTAAACAGTATGTATAATGGACTCAAAGAACGCTCGGATGACATGCAAATCTTACTCAAAGAATTGATCGAAATTACTGATAAATACCGTCGGAGATTGGACTCCGATAGGCATGACGTGATTAGCGAATTTTTAGACAGTAAGAATGAAAATTATAATTTTTTTTCGGCAAACCTAACAATACGCAATTAAAATGATGAGCATAGCCAATCAAATCCTAATATTTAAAGACAATTATCAGCTTTACATAATACAGTAAAAATGACATAGGTACCAAGTTGCTAAGTTTCATAAAGTAGAAAACTTAATACAAACATAGATATCCGTAACTACTAATATACGTATTACTTCGGGTTCTAACAATGTAATCATGATGATAAGAATGAGTTTCAAAATACTCTTCATAATTTATGGTTGTTTAATACTATATTTTAGTTTTGTATTATACATTTTTATCTGTGATAAATATTTACATTGGATGTCAAATAAAAGATGCAAAATGAAATATTTTCAGTGGTGGAACAGACGTTGATGTTTAATGTTTTTGCAATAAACTTACTCGTAACTTTAGTTTGAAACTGAATACTTTTACTCGATAAATAAATAAAATTTGTAAGTATTTAATGAAATAAAGATTGTAGAAAAAATAATGAAACCTGTAAGCGACATACAAATAAAATAGTATAATCGAGAATAGATAAAAGTGAAAATTTGAAACATTTGGTCATTTCTTGTACCTTAAAATCATTTCATTTATATACAAAAAATGGGAGAAAAAAAAAGAATTTTTGTAATAATACGAGTATAAAACGTACACGATCAGACCTATCAAATGGAAAACTTTTAAATGCAAATTTAAATTTGCAATTTTAAGGCAGAAGGGTGATCACTGTATAATTTAAATTAGAATAAAAATTATAAGATCATAGAAAATTGCATTGTATTGAGTAGAAATACTTTTATCCACTTTAGGTTTCATGGAAGCGGCCATTAGCGAAATAGCGGCAATTCAGAAGAAATCAGAACAAGAACTTGAAGCCAAATTCAAAGAGCAACTGCAATTGCTCGTGGACGGACAAAACTTGTTTATGGTCAACTGTCATCGATTGCAATCAAACGAACATCAAATCGAAAACGACATGGTTTTCATACTAGAACGGATAATGAATCATATCGATAACAAGTGAGTAAGAAAAATCAGACTATTTCTTATTCTAAAATCCTAACGCCTTATTGTCTTTAATATTTATAACTTTAAACGAGAAAATGGTTCAAAGTTTGTCAATAATATGTTTTATAAGAGTCTTATATATTTAAATCAAATAAAAATGACAATGCTTAACAACTATTTGGGTTTGGTATATTTATTAATATATTACTTAGTTATAAGACGAGTACCAAAATACTTAAGATTCTAGGAGAATCGAGATTTGCATTAATTTTACAATAATAATATTTTTACTGTAATCAAATTTTCGAGCGTTAAATCCGTCGATTATTTTTAAATCTTTCATCCTTCATTCACAGATAGTTTTACTTGCATTGGTAACTAGAAAATAAATACCAAAAAAAAATTGCAGTTAATAAAAACAAACAGCATATTTTATTATAAAGATAATTGATTATTACAGATATACAGAATTTCTACAAAAAAAACATTTTTCACGCACCGTCAGCAAATGATGACGCGTACCTAGTACAGTTTTTTAACGAAACATAAATGATAATCACTGTAAATGTAATTAATTATGCTTGTTGTGTGTTTTAGAACTATTTCTGAGACTACAGCGTTGGAACAAATATCGAAAACGTTGAAAACCCAAAGAAGTCAGGAGGAAAAGATGTTTGCGGAGCTCTCGGAACTCGGTAAGACACAGACCGATCAAGTTGTGAGGACAGTAGCGTACTCCACCAATCAAGTTATAAAATTACACCAAGATGTAATGAATATTTCCAATGCACTAATGGTGGCAAATTGCGGTGGTAGTCCGAGCAACGGAACGACTACTATAAATGCGACGGTGAGTCCAATCAGGCAGGCGTAAATACAAGGAGGGACTATGGGGGCTGAAGCCTCCCCCCCTTAGACATTAGGTAGAACCATATCAGATGTAGGAACTTAAAATATTAAAAAAAAAAATTAAACGTAAGACTTCGTACAAATCGACATAACCCCCTTTTTTCATTTTTAAATCCGTGCTTGCAACCAGGTCAAATAATACGGCAATAGATAAGAATTATTACAATACAAAAATATAATAATCTAGAACTAAAACCCAGACATTGATAATCCATAAATCTTTCAATAAAAAACGTCTTAAAGATAACAAAGTATTCTATAATTATCAAAAAGTGATAACACAAAACGGTTCAATGTTATAAACACATAAGAAAACTTAAATAAAACATGTCGTGTATAAAAACAAAAAAGCTCTAGTGAAAAAATCCGAATTAAAAAGAAAAACTTGGTTTCGAACCCCGCACTCGCATCATTTTACTCGTCTTTTCACGAGTTGGTCATTAGTAACATATTATTATTATTATATTTAAAATTTTATGATTAACTGTACAATTCAATAAATCACTCTTTTTAAATCTATAATTCTCACCACAAACACAATAGCTATCGATTGATCCAGGGGCGAATTCAGACCGAGATAACGGGGGGGGGGGGGG